CCCCTTGTGGATTCTCAATACAAATTATTAAATAAAGATAAAGGCAAAACCTCACCTTAAAAAAAAAAAAAAAAAAAGAATTCAATATTTTAACCGCTCAAGCTTTTATTATATAATTATAATTCCCTGTAATAATTCATGTAATCCATTTAAATAATGTAACATATAATTATTCAAAAAAGACCAAGGCCAGGCCTCACTCTTAAAAAAAAAAATTATAATTACAGAAATTTAGTATTATACTGAAAAGTCTTAATATAACAAATCTTTTTTTATTTAAACTTTTATCAAATTTGTCGTAATGTTAATGCCTAATAAAAAAAACTTGCCATTAAATCATTACAGTCAAACAGATTTTCAAAAATTGACAATGTCAAATCACATTAACACAAATTAGAACTTTAATATATCATACCTTTTCAATATCTCATTGTGTATTCCCAAAATATTAACACTCATTTGCATTTTAGCAATACGGCATTATTGTATAATGGTGTTATGATAACATACATATCGTAACTATGTTAATCTTGTGAATTCTAACATCAGCTGTATATACATATATATAATGCACTCTGCCAACACTTTACTGTCAAAACAGAACTCTAGGATATAAATATACAGTTTACAAATTAATCTTGTACTAGTTGAAATTAAAAAATTTGACTTGTTGAATAGTATAATTCGAATGTCTAGAAGACATGCATGTACGCAAAATTATATAATAGTATTGAATGGTATGTTGAGTGATATTCGAATATTTAACAAGTCGAATTTTTTAATCTTGACTAGTGCCAGAAATAACCAAAAAATTTGAATAAGATTCACAGAACACTATAAATAATCAGTTTTGTAAACTGTATTATATACCTATTTTTTAATTCTATATTTGGGTAATCAAGTCAAGTGAATCGTTATTTGAACTATAAGATTTTTTTTTTTAATCTTCAAAGGTGAGTTCAATGAAAGTATTTAGTATATAGAAAGGACCAATATGAATATGAATAATTATTAATAAAAAGTTTGAAGAATTCAACTTTTATTCTAATTACATGTTAAATATGTTAAATACTGAACTAATCAATGAAACATAGCAAAAATAAATATGATAAGTGGATATTTAATTATTATCAATAAATTATCATGCGCATGAAATTTAAATATGATTTCACTTGGCTATCACTAATAATTTTAGTATATAATCAGTAAATAATTATAACTTTCTTTTGAAAAAAATAGTCAACTATGCCCAAAAAATCTACTCAAAATGAAATTCACGTATTTCCAAGAAAGTGTTCACACCTGTACAAGCGTCTTCAAACAAAAAAGCACTTACTTCTCTAGGCAAAAAAAAAGATTTTTCGTCCAAGGCTCATAATAATTTGAGTGATAAATTTGAAGACTTTAATGCATCTGCACCTGTACAAGCATCTTCAAGCAAAAGAGTACTTGCATCTTCAAGCAAAAAACAAGAATTTTCGCCCAATGCTCATGATGATTTGAGTGATGATCTTGAGAACTATAATGAGTGTAATGATGTGCCTTTGAGTAATAGCGCTGAAGACACTCAGTCGCAACACTCTCGTTCTCAATCGCCACACTACCGTTCTCGTTTTTGATCATGAAACTCTCGACTCAGATCTCGTTCACAATCAAGGCACAATTATTCCAGCTCTCAACCTTTCCAACCATGACATTCTCGTTCTCCATCCAGATTTCAATCACGATGTTCTCATTCTCGTTCTCCATTCGGATCTCAACCTTTACAATCATGACGCACTCGTTCTCCATCTCATTCCCCATCTCAGCCTCAATCTTTTCAATCACGTTCTCAACCACATAGCCACAAAAAAATTGTATTTGAATCAGAATATGAAGCGGCAGCGTATATTGCTGAATGACCAGAGCTTTTGAAAATCACAAATCAAATGGCACAATATGATGGCCTTAAAAAATCGGATGCCGAAAAATCTGTGGTCCTTACTCAACAAGTAAGGTTAGCCCATACAAAGTTAATTAATTGGCTCTCATTACCCGGCCAGGTCTAATTTTGTAAATTTTTACAAAAAATTTTATATATATTTTAATAACTGGGTGAGCTTTTTAAAAAAATTTAAAAAATTGGTATATATAAAATTAAAAAACACCTTGCCGGTTTATTTAAGAAATTTCATATTACAAGAACCAATAAATTAAATCTGTGTTGCCTTACTTTTTAATTGTGTAATTAAAATGTTCAATATTAATTTTTTATAAATTATCTTTTTTTCCTCTTTAGGAGACAACAACATTTCAAACATTTTTAAAATGTTTGTTTTTTAGAACACGGCACCTTACAAAAGAAATTATTCTTAAGTGTATTAAATTGTGCTTTCCATCCAAAAAATTCAACTCTAAAAGCATCTCTGTCTTAAAAGAAGCCACCAATACAGCATATCGAAGCTATAGAGATGCACTTCGAAGTGGTCTTAAAAACATTGCAGAACATTTTATTAAGGATTATAAGTAAGTAAAATATATTTTTGATGTGTTGGACATAAATCATAATTAAGTCTCAATTTTAGGATAGATCGTCTTTCTCAAGTCCGGCGTTCTGATGTTCACGATTATCTTCAAGAAGATGTCTGCGGTCATTTCTCAAACGGATCTTTGAAGCAATTGATGAAGAAGCAACATTCACTATAGAATTCAAGGAAGCGTAGCAGACATTTATGTCCAAATGTCTCTTAAAAATGATCAAAGAGATATTAGGTGAAGAAAAAAAGCTTGTTAAAATAACTGATCTAGATAGTATTACGTTGAATTATGATATTTATGATGCTGGAAATGTCTTAAATCTCAATGATACAGGCTTTAAAGCACTTTTGAAGAAAGAATTGCATGACAGGAAAAAAAAATGAGTTGGGCAAATTTAATTAAACTAGATACTTTTTCACTATTGCTGTGGTATGACAAGTGCAGGGATATTTGCAAGCTTTTACTATAAATAATTATTAATTTAATTGCATAATTTAAAATATTAATTTATTGAATATGTAATATTTAATTAGCAATACAGTTTGCAATGAATATATAAATTGTTCCAATATAAATTTGCTCTTAATTATCCATGTAAAAATTTATATTTTAAACTAATACTTCAAGTCTAAAAATTAGATTTGTTCGATCGAGCAATAAATAAATAAATCTGCCTATATTTTGAACGTTTTCTATATTTATCATATGGTACTACAAAGTTTCTTAATTTACAGTAATAATATCAGTATTTTTGTTAAATAAAATTTAAATTATGCATATTTTGTTATTTTGTTATTGTTACACAACATCAATGCAGGAAGATGCATTACAAATGCAAGAGAAGTTTAATTAATCATATTACCTCATCGGTAGAAGTTATTAATAGTTTATTTTAATACTATATAGTGCAATGGCAAAAAGTTAATTACGGTTCTCTTTTTCAAGAAATAGCTTGCGTATCTTATAGAAGTGCTCAATAGATTTACCAGTTTTGTGATGGTCTACACTTGCACCTTAAAGACAAAGGTTACTATTCATCCAGGCAGAGTACGACGACTTTGACTGAATATTCGAAATACTTTGATCAATAAAAGCCTTAAAAACAGAAATAAAGTCTTTAAAGATGCTTTAATTAATAATGAACAATTTAATGTGCTTAAAGATATCACAGTTAGCAATTATGATCCTGAATATAATAACCTTGAAAACGATAGCGATTATTTTGAAAAATGTGCTGATGATCTTGAAAATAGCAATGAGGATCTTGAAGACAGCAATGACGACTTTGAAGATAGTAACATAGATCTTGAAGACAATAATGAAGACCTTGAGGGCAACAATGAAGAGTCCGAAGATAGTGATAATCTTGAAGAAAGTGACGACGAACTTGATGATAGTACTCCTACTCAAAAAATGGCAGATGAGCCTGAAATTTTTGACCCGTATGATGGTGAATATGGCCCGTATTTTTTCAATTTCACTGAACAAAGATTTTTTTGTGGAATATTAAACACATGATATGTAAGTAAATTTATTAATTAGTTGGTTTTATAACCCAGCCAGGTCAAATTTTAAAAAAAATTTTTAAGTTTTACTACCAAGTTAGTTTTTAAAAATTTTTTTATAAAATTTTTTATTTATGAATTTTTTTAAAAAAAGCCATCGGCCGGCCAGGTATATTTAGAAATTTCAAATATACAAATCAACTTATTAAATTTGTATGACATAATTAGTGTTTCTTTTAATATATGTATTCTATTTTTTTAAGCTACAAGTGCATATAAAGACTTGATAGCAATTATCAAGCATCCACAGTTCCGATCTTATGACATACCAAAAAATGTAAGATGCCTTAGATCTCAATGAACTAAAATGCTATTACTGAATATCAAAAGCCATTCTATCCCTATTGATGATCGAAAAACGGCTTCCATTCAAAGTCAACCAAACTCGCTTATACTATTTCAATAAAAGAACACCTCAAACATATTTTGAATAATCCGAGGTTGATGAAGAGGATGTATTTTGGTCATGGTATCGAAGTCCAAGAAAAATCAGAATTGTGGCATGGTGACATCTGGCAACGGTCTCCTTTATATGGCGATACAACTATTATTATAAATAACAGTAAGACAATTATCTTTTTTTATATATATCCAACTCATAAAACATTTTTTTTGACTTGCTTGACACGTCTTTTGACCCACCCGATACATATCGTTATTGACCCAAATGATCGATAAGATATTGTTAGAGGTTGGAATTAATCGATCTTAATATTTGAAAAATGAATTTTGATTCCAACCTCTAAATATTTTGGCTTTTAATTAAGAACCACACAATATAAAATTTTATCTCCCTTTATTAAATATATGGATTGCTATTTTTGTTAGCAAACCCAATTTTTCTTTATTTTTTTATACATGCAATTATTAAAATAAACTTTTAAATAACCCAGTAATTTATTTGAAATCTGGTTTCATAATTTTATTTTTATAACTTAATTTGCACAAACTTTTGATTTAAAATAATAAGTCTTAATGTTATAGACTATATCTAATTAAAGAATTGCTGGATTTATACTCATGTCAATAATAAAGAGTAATAACGATATGCATTTTTATATGGGTCAAAAACGATATGTACTTTTTTAAAAAAGTGGGTAAGAAAAGTGTACCGGGTGGGTAAAGAACAATGTTTTTGTACCTAGCTCTAATTTGTTCTTTTAATTTGTTCTAATTTGTTTTAGTTGAATATCGCATTGGACAATTTGTAGAGTTTCTCTATACCAATAAGAATAATCGACATGAAATGTGTTTTGGAAGAATAGAAGCCATTATTTCGTTCTTATCTCCATATGAAATCAACGATCCAAATAACTAAACTGAAGACACTTTAAAGATGTCGAGACTTCTAAGGCATGATGAATTGGGAATTTATTGTAGTAAAGATAGAAGTTATCGAGGGCATAAAGAACTCTGGATGATTGAAGAGGATTATCAAATCATTCCATCCGGTCATATTCTAAAACATGTTACTATATGACTTCAAGATGTTCCCCAACCCACGTTCTATGATTTTTATATATCTGAAATTTTATACAAAGACATTAATACTAATAGAATCCAAATCCGACCAATACATTTACGTCATCACCATCCTTCTGAATATATTATTACAAATTTACCACCTTATCACATGAAAGTATTTAAATTTATATTAGATATTTATAATAATGACTTCGGAACATTTCGCAATACTTACTATACGTTAGGAGGTATCTACATGCAAATAGGCAATATGCCTTTTTGTTTGAGGAAACAGTTAAAAAATCATTTTATAATTGGTTTTATACCGTTTGGAGGTTATTTTGATGATTTGATGAGTCCTTTACTTCAAGAACTTCGTCAATTAGAGAAAGGCATTGCAATGAAGATGAAT